TCCAGTCTCTAACATTCTGTGATTCTGTGATACATGCATCAAGCCTGAGTGCAGCTGAAACAGCTCAACAGCACCACCTGAGTGGGAGGAAGGTCTGGTCTCACACCAAAAGCCACCCTGCGGTCTGCTCACGCTATCCTGGGAAGCAGCACTAGTTGCATCTTCAGAACATACCCGAGCATCCATCTCCTAACATTGTCTTTGCGTTTCTTCCCTCTTTGCAACCCCAAGTGTCTTAGAAAGGGCACAGCACTCCACTCCTCAGTGGGATAATCATGCTTTGCACTTCACAGCTTTTCATCTTTCACTTCCTATTTGGAGCAGTTTTCAAACAGCCTAACCCTTTTCAGCACATACAGCTCTCTGATGTTCTAAGGAAACAGAACTTACTCTTTTTTTGCGGAAGAAAAGCATAATGGTGATGGCTGGTCTTTGTAGGAGCATTTCAGACTAAAAAGGTCAGTCAAGACTTTGAGACAGCAGCATTTGCTTCCAGCAATCTCTTAGCCCTCCCCTCTTTGAAAAAGAGCTGTATAATCAGCTGATGAGGGCCAATATTGAGGATCCCATTTTCTGTTGGGGAAAACTTCTGCTTTGAGTTACATCATGAAACAATACTGAAAATCCACTTGGAGAAGAAAATTGAAATGGATTTACATCCAGCTTTCCTGCTTTGGCAGAATGTTTTTTGTTTTAATTCATAAATGATGTTCTAAAACACAGAGGTTTTGGTTACAGCAAAAACAAAATGTAAAAGTTCTTATTAGCTTCAGATTGAAATGTTACACCTCAACTAAAATTATTCTTTGGTGTTTCCCTTTGTGACCTGCAGTCTGGGGATAGCATTCTAGCTCAAAAGTAGCAGGGAAGGTACACCAGGAATACCTAGAAGGATTGTTTTTAGGAACTCAGTGCAAATGCCTTTGAAAAACATCAGTTTTCTTAAGGGTTGTAAGATCTGTGCAAAGCTATCATACTAATTCCAAAGTCACTTCTCCATTACTCTGTAAACAATTTGGTCATCGAGCTGAGAAGATATTAAATCTTTTGTGTTAATGGGCACAGCAAACACATTGTGTTCCAAGTGTCTCGCTCCACGCAGATGTATGGCTGGGTGTGAGGATTTGCCTCTCCTGACTCTAAGTGGCCGCTTTCTACTCCAGAATCCCATCTGAGCTGAGCAGACACCAAATGAATCAACACCAGCATTATTCTGACAGCAAATCCTTGCTCAGCTTTTTCCCCTGGCAGACAAAGTGATATTTCTCAGATACAATCTCTTATTACTTAAAACAGTTGAGCCAAGCGTTTGATACAGTACCTCCAAAAAGAAAAAGCAGTCCTGTCATTAGAAGCAGTAGGTAGGCCCTGGCAAGAATGCTAATGAATCCGGTCATTCCTCCAAAAACCATCAATATTAGGCTGAGGGGCATCAGGATGACAAATGTCCCATGCATATCTGAAGAAAAAGGAAAATTGTTAATATTTTAATATTTTATTACGGCATCATTGGATGTACTAATAATTACTAAGTGCAGAGGTCCTGATTGGGGTCAAAGCTTTATTCTGCACTGCACAAACAAGGAACTGGACAGTCGCTTGGGTTTGCAATGTAAGGCAGCAGGACTAACATATAGCAGGAAAGAAAAGGTAACACACAGAGCAAGACCTTCACAGGATCACAGCCTGTGTTTCAAATATGGAAATATTTCAAACATGGATATATTTAAGCATTAGGCTGTCCTCAGGTATGAAGGCCAGCTGGACAGCAGGTGATGCATTGCATACCAGGTGGTCATCGATTTTAAGAAAAAGTAGCCCCAGTTACCAGAACCACACAGATCACACCGAGTGGCATCGTTCTGTTGGGGTGGTGAAATCCAGCAGATGCTTTGGTTAAACGCATTCTTTTCTGTCACATGTTCTCTGATGAATCGATCTAACAAATTGTTGACCTTTTCCTTTGTTGCAGCTGACCATCAGCTAGACGTAAATTTTCCCATCCAGCTCAGATTCTGTCTGTCATTGTTTTCTACAGCAGCTTCAATAAGTACATTAACCTATCCTGCTCGCTTCCTCCCATGCTAAATGTTTCACATTAGTCTTCCTTGATTCCTGTAACATTTTAACAGCTGTGTAAACAGAGGGTTGCTAGGTACTTTTTCATATCACACTGTTTTTCCCATCATAAACCAGCTTTGTGTCATTGTTCCTTCTCATGCAATCTATCCACAACATTCAACTCAACCTTTTCTAGAGCAATAACCAAAAAAACTAATTCCAGCTTGCAGTAGCAATTGATTTCATAGCAGAGTGAAGTGCAGAGTTACTGAGAAAGGAAAACTTCAAATCCATTTTCTGAAGGGCTCTAGGATTGACCGTCAGATTTAATTTCACAGAGGAACAACAATACACCACTAGCTGGTTCCCAAGGAAAATGAGTCAGTTAAGACATCACAGTGTGTGGGATCAGATGTTCAATTTTTTTAAGCCACTGTAAGTGCCCACTGAATTAGGGGTTCTCCACCTGACGCTGGCTAAGGATCCAGCTTATCCTCTTCAATATCATTATAAAGATAAGCCACAATCATGTATGTATCTCTGTTCAGTTCTAGAACCTTGGAAGGGTCTCCACAGGATCAGGGCAGACACTGTTCATTTCTTTACTTGAGAGGAATGTTATTTCAAGACAGAATTATTTGTTTTGTGTAGCACAGAATACGCTCACAAGAAAAAGTGTGGCAAGTGACAAAGTTTTGGGAGGCAACCCTATTGTTCTTCTATCTCCATTTGTAGACTCATATTTAGTCCCACATACGCCCCCATTACGATCAGCTGATGCTCAGAAGCATGAATTCAACATTCGGCATTGGAAGGAGCACTTTCTCTCCTTGCTTCCAAATAGAGGATACTCCCTGGACTTTCCTTTGGCAAAACAGGCCAGGGCTGCTGTTGCTGACTAAGAAACCCAAAACTACAGCAATTTTCAGATGCTAACAGTCAACTCAATGTTCAGCTTACAGTGTGTAAACCACTATGTCAAAACAGTTTGCCAATCTTGGTTGAATTCCAAGAGGAGAAATAGGCATGGAACTCAGCTCAGGAGTTTTAGAGAGTTAGAAGCGGTTGCCAGGGATGTGCTGCGATGTGGTGCGACAGAACAGAGAACTGGCACATGGTTTAGTCCTCACATTCCAGAGGGGCAGTGGGAACAGGCTCATCTGCTGCCCCGTTCGTGCTTCCTGAGGGTATCGGGTCTGGTTTTGTTTCCCTGCCCCTTTGACATCTACGTGTCCCCTTGGGTTTGGTCTTGTACCTAAGAGGTGAAGCGGCCTTGGGGGTATAAAATCTGATGCAATCAACATTTTAAAAGTAAAAATGTTAAGAATGGCACAACTCTGTCCTCAGATCTGGCTTTGCTGGGAGGGAAGAAGCAGGAACAAGCTCAGCCCTGGGCCTGCGCTTTGTGAGTTTCCAGGTGCCCCTCACCAGTTAAAGCTGCTGCTTACGAACAACATCTCAGGACAGTTGCACTCATAGCTGCTATTTTATAGAATCATAGAGTGGCCTAGGCCAGAAGGGACCTTAGAGATCATTGAATCCAACCTTACTGTCATGGGCAGGGATGTCTCTCAACTAGACGAGGCATTTCTTTCTTTCCTTTTCCTGGGGTGATTTCAGGTGCTGCAGCCAGGACTGCAGCTGTAGCCAGGACAAGTGCAGGTGAAAAAGATAAGGCTCTGAATGTAATCTTTTGAAGTAAGGGGAAAACAATCCCATGCCAGAGCCTTCTCCTGGTGAGAGTCACAGATTACATTAAAGATCTCTCTCAGGTGCATGCAACATCAGAATAACTGATTTTTATGCCCTCTTCAGTGATATCTCAGCCGAAACCCATAAATCCCACCGTGGCAGAGCCTTGCTTTGCCTCCACACAGCTGGGATCACATTTCTCATGAATCACCTGCAGCTTTTTTAAAATCAAATATTTAATGGATTGTATTTGGTTAGACAGCACTTTTATCACCTCCAGGGTTCTAGTTCAGTACCTTATACCCATCTATCCTTCCATGAAACCTGCAACTGCCTGGGAAACTTACTCTAAAACGCTGCCATGGAAACCGCTTAGGAATCCGAATTCATACCGTCTGGCATATGATGTTATGCCATTATGTTCCTTGATTAGAGGGACAGAATTAGTTTATAGAAGGACATGACTTTAAATATCTTTATTTCTGTCTTCAACAATCATTTGTGAGAGAAGTTAAAACATCGATTTTGCAGTCATTTCAGTATTTTTTTAGGTTGTGTTGAAATACGTATTTATGCATTATGTATTATACATATAACAGCCTTCATTTTTATGAAATTAATCTAGTATTGGAAAAAAAAAACCTAAACATTTTGCACAAGTATGTGCACTGTTCTCTAAAACAGAATCGTTTCGCACATTTATTTCTCAATGCCCGAGTTCCCTGTCAGTTCAACACGAAAGACCCAATAGTCAAATCGTGAAACTACTGAAACAAGCTGATGAACATTTAAAAACCCACTCCATTCTTTTTTAGCGAAAAAATACTTGAATTGCTTGATCTGTGTTAATTAAGTTTTATCTCAGCTAGCCATAGTTCCTTCACTAGAGGTCTGACCAAATGACATCTGCAGTGTGTCCAGATCTGTGAATTTGGCAGACACTTCTCAACTACCACCCAACACAGCTGTTGAGCTGCTGTAACAGAAATCTGTGGGATGAACTAGAGAGATCGAATGGTTGCAAAAGTTCAGGTCTAGCAGTTTTGTTAGTCATCATCTCCTGTTGACAGGCTGGAGCTTAATTGTTTCAAACCAACTTTGGATTTGTTTGCACAGCTTTTAACAGCAAATAGTCTCTAGGAATCGGTAATAGTCACCTCGTCAAAAATACTCCTATTGGCAGCAGCTCAGAGGAGCTTAATCAAGGATCTCTTTATCTTCCCCAGCAGTAACTAAACAGTCAGTCAGAAAGACAGAAGCCTCTAGCTGACACAGAATGCTGGCAGTAACTAAATCCAACTGGGCTGCTCTGGAAAGACTTGGCAAAGCCAGGAAGAAACAGAGCACTGAGAAAACCCGACCTGCCTGCAAGCAAGGAAGGAAGGAAACAACTTAGAGAAACAAAGAGCAACAGAAAAGAACTGCTGTGTGTGGCTAAAGAACTGCTGTCTGGGGCTAAACCTGTGACTTCTGTGCTTGAACACCAGGGATAGGAAGGCTCAGATTCCCTCCTGTTCAGTGGAGAAGAGCTCGCAAAGTGGGTACCCCAGGACAATTAGATAAGCTCCGTGCTCTTCTGCAACAAGTCTCTGAGCTCAGCTGGAAGGCAAATTGCAGACAGTAGTAATAAAATGACGCTGGACTTGGTTCAGGTGAGCACTGACAGAAACCTTCAAGACAAGGAACGGGTAAAACGACAGAAGCAAGCGATGCCCTGTGGTTCACACTTGCTCTGATACCAATGAATTGGAAAATGAGAACATTCATCAGAAGTTGCCACTCGGTAGGTGTCAGCTGCAGCGATGATAAAGTTACCTTAGATTTCTGTATATATTTACTGTAATATCTACTGTAAGTGCCAAAGCAAATGTTCACCGGAATGTTTTTGAAGGACCACTGCACTGTTGCTCAGGAACAAAGCCACCTATCGTACCAGTTAAGGTAGAATTTCCACCCTGATCATTTGGGTCTTATTTAACTTGGCCTCTGAACTGGCTCTTGCCAGGTATTCCAGCCCTAGCTGTTCCTTTCTGATAAATTAAAACCAAAAAGAAAAAAACTGTGAAGAATTGTAAATCCCCCAGGAAAATATAATGGCAACCAAAGAACAAGGCGTTCTCAGATTCTATCATTATTTACATGCAACTCAGTAAAAAATGAAGCAGGCCCATGAAGAGTGGGGAGAAGAGTGAAGAGGGAGAAGAGCTGGTTAGTGACTGCTACAGGGTCCACACGCTGTGAGGAAATCCAGTCTAGCTGAGCTGTGCTATTAAACTAATTCTGCTGAGGAAGAAACCAAGGCAACGGTTTTGTTATAACAACCGAGGTACCGGTAACTGCCCCAAATGCAAAGATTGTTTCCCCGCAGGAGGCACTAACTTCCCTGCAGCCTCATGGCTCCAGCGACACTGATGTCTAAAGAAGAAAAGATAAAAATACTTTGGGGAGAACAATTTAAGCAGTTGTGCATGGGCAGCCACACACTCTAGTCTTGGTTTTATAACAAGAAGAACATTTTCCTGCAGCCATACAGAAGTAGAAACCATATCCATTAACTGATCATCTCTGAAGGGCTCAGGAACAGAGGAGAGGACTACAAAGCGACTTGTAACAGGAAAACAATCACTGGCCATGATGTTCAAATCAATAACAAAAAATCAGGATTGTCAGAGGCTTAATCATAGCTCGTAATACCTAGTGCAGCTGGTTCTTGTGTTGGGACAAGCCAGGCAGCCATTAAGAAATAAAAGTAGTTCCCCTCGTTATTTTTCGTAACGCAAGCCCCATCTCTGCAGTGTAGATGGGACCCTACACCAGTCTGAGGTGCAAAGGGAAGATTCAAGAGAAACGATCTGTTTCGTAATTTTGCGTCTGTTCGCATCTTGGGATGAAAACAGCCTCTTACGTGTTGGCCAAATAACACATTATAGACATCGTTTTTGTTGTGCCAAAAGGAAAAGGAAGAATAAAAAGCTGTGTGGCAATTTGGTTTTAAACTAGAGGAGGAGGTGGGGGGAGGAAGTCACACACCAAAAAATTCACATTTTAAAAGACTTCACCATGCTTTAAACACAACCTCAGCCACAGCTTTCGAGGATCAGTGTATCATATAGCATTTAGTTCAGAAAAATGGGGATGGAAGTAATTTTTGTGTTACCAAGCAGGGGTCACCATCCAGTCATAACGGGGACACACAGGAACAGGTTACTCGAGCTTCCAAAAAGTGAAGCTCACAGAAGAGTTTTGACAGGAGATATTAGTCTGCAGCAAACAGATTAATTTCTTCTTTCAATAGCTCATCCATCCTGCAAGAATTACTTGAACCACATCCAGAGTACAAATTGATTTGGATTAGAAATAGTAACAAAATTGTTCATTTTGCAGGGATTACACTGGTGCTGTCTTTAGCTAAAACTGTGCCGGTATTTGCTCATTATTAACAGTACAAACTTTGGTGCGAAATACATTTACATTACAAAATGCCCAAAATTAACTTGTTGGGTTTTGGTTGTTTTGTGTTCTCTGGGTTTGGGGTTTTGTTTTTGTTTTTTTTTAAATAAATTATTTTACAAAGCTGCAACTCAGGGAAATTCTTTTTGGTAGATGAAATACTGCCCCTCGTTCGATGCACCAACCTCCCTCTCTTTATGTGATCCTCAACACTTAGATGCAATTTTGAAAGTTATGCTTCTCTTACTGCAAAATGGCAAAACCGCTCAGAACTGACAGAGCTTCCCTTGATGACAGAGCGACACCTTTCTTTACCACTTGGCAAGAGATGGATTCAGCTCATCATGGAAAAAAAGTTGCTCTTGCTGTTTGTCTCCCACAGCTGGCACAGGAGAACACGCGGCAAGACAAGCTCTCTGGGGTGTCCTTGCTGACAGGTTTCAGTTTTAAAAGTGACTTTTAGGGGACTATCTTCAACCCTAGTGCTCACCAAGAGACCCTAGTAACTGTCTAAATTGTGAAAAGTTGCACTTTCATTTTAATGCTGTATTGGACTGAGGAAAATGTACATCCCTAGTAAAAAAAGAAAAGCTAGCGGTATATTTCTATAGACAGTGGCTGATGCTTTATATAAACATGTAACCATGCCGTAATGTAATCTGTGGTAGGAAAATACGTTATACGTTGTGGGTTTGAGGGAGAGAGTATAGACCATACATTCAGCTGGAGGGAGCAGCAAGAAAAGAAATGGAAGCTTAATGCAGAGGAGGAGGTATCCTTGTGTCTGAGCCATTACAGAAACTGCTCAAGAGCACTCTCGTGATGTGAAAAAGAGTCGCACTCTCAGGCTTAACAAGACCTAGGTTGATTGCCTGACTAACACTGCTGGAAGCACAGAACTTTAACTTGCATACCCAACTATTTTAATTTGCCAGGAGCTCTACTTGAAATACACAATAAGCCTAGAAGAAATCTGCTGGGGATGAATAGGAGAGAGATTGGAAACACAGACGGAGGGAATGAGAACTCTCTTCATTCTCTAACAAAGCATTTGTCTTCTGGAAGTGACCAGCACTTCTGTTTCGACTTAGACCCCGCTCTTTGCAATGAGCTATAGAATTTCTCCCTTCTCTCGAGCACTTGTGTCTAGTTAAGGCAAGCCAGGAAGAGCATGAGAACTTTGAAGAATGGGGGACAGGATTTCTGACGTGTTAAACTTCAGTGCCTGCATTGGGAGAGAGCCCTTCTAAATCTTTTTAGGAATAACTGGCAAGAGAAACGTTTGATGTTGCCAGAGCTCTTGAAATTCACTCTGCCAATTGAACACCGAGAAATATGGGTGCACAGCTGGACAAATTGAGATTAATTCCATGTGCATGTGCCTCACACAGATGCCGGCACAGGCACATGCAGAGGGGAAAAAACGTTGAAGTAACTGATTAAAGCCATGCAATTAGCCTGTCTGGCCCATATAGCAACACATGAAGAAACTACTGTGACTACACCGGAATCCACAATCTCAGAACCGTCCTCTAAAACTCCAATTAAAAATGTGTTACAGATGAAGATTTGCTCTGATCTGTCTAAATACGATTCAGCGACCACAGTCAGAAAATATTTAAGGAAGAAGTGTAAGGCTGAAGTAGAAAGTAATATCTCAGTACTTAACAAACCTAGATGTCACTTCGAAGTAACAAGTGCTGACCTGGCACTTCCTATGTTCAGCTGTTATTGCTGAGGGTCTGTAGCCTCACCACACTGAACCGCACCTAAGGTGATCATTTAAAATACCAAAAAGTTCACTCTGGAGGGCATTCTAATCAAAATTAGTAGATTCTTTCCGTAAAGGTATCTTTGATTCCTTATCTCATCATTTTTGAGCAGACTACACCTGCTTATAATAAAATCTGCAAGTGTCTTTGCAGATCTGAAGTCTTTGCCCAGGAACCTAAGAAAACATACTTGATAAAGAGAGCAAGAGAGAAAAAAAATTTCTCTGAATCACTCAGTTATGAATCCAATTTTTACTCATATTCCCTATTTTCCTACACTTTATGACTACCAAAGAGCTTGTGTTTCCAAGTCAACATGATTTTTATAACCAAAGGAGCTCAGTAGAGTCTCTGCTTTTGTTTTTGAAGATTTCAGTTTTAATTCAAGAGCTGTAATCTAAAGTCTCCTCACCTGAGAAAAGCTACAGATATAACTTTTGCAAATGTGAACACAACTTTCAAAACACTTATAACTCCATCCAGAAACTTTTAGACTATCCACAACGCAGTAGTTGAGGTGCCCACACTTAAAACGTGATCAGTCTGGTTCAATTATCTTTGAACCCTCAAAACGATCCAGCAGACAACCATTGTCACCGATCCTCACCATTTTCAGCAACACCAAGCAGCTAAAGCCCCCTGTCTTAAGCAGAAAGGATTAAAGAAACGGCACCTTCCGCCCGGAGAGCACAGAGAGGCGATCTGTGCTGTTAGTCTGGAACCTGCCAACGTGTGTGTCCAGCTGTTTCAGCAGCACCCTGGGATCTTATTCCTGCCTTAACTTTCCAGTTCCTGCTGCAACTCAGCTGCTTGAGCAGCAGCACTCCCAGGCTCACTTTGCTACGATTGCTGCACTTTTAGCTATTCCACAAGATGCTGTTCCAAGAGACTGAAGACACTCTAAGGCTCTCTGAAGGATTTATCAGTTAAATAGCTGGTTTTGAGGGCAAAAGTACCATTTTAAGACACAGGACATTTCCTTATCTCTCTGACACAAGTCAGAGACTTTCTGAAAACATTCTGACATTGACACATGAATCTGAAGAGAAATAAGTAAACAACAAATGCAGTTAGGAAATTAATTTTTTTTAACACAATGGTTTTCGAAGACTTTGAATGCTGCTTTTAGTCTTTCTTTTCTTAAATTCCTGCACACGTAAGGCTTGATCAATTCTTGGGTGATCCCTCTCAGATTGATCAAACTCTTTTGAGAGGATTTTGAACATTTTTGCCTTTATTTTTAACAATCATATACCTTCCTGAGCCACTCCAGGCAGAAACATCTTGCTCCTGTGAAAGAAATTAACTGAACTCAACAACACATAGATGGTTGTTTCAACAGTAATCCCACTTAAAGACCACATGCAATGACAGATATCGTACAGAAGCAGAGTCAAAACATTTTCTCTGAGAGCGACCCCTCTGAATCAGAAATGGGACCTTGTAAGTGACCAAGGAGGGAGGGAAGGATGGATGGAAGATCAGAAACAACATAGAAGTTACTCACACAAAAGCTGTCTGTGTGAATCAGTGATGTTTGCATTATCATGCTCGAAGGGGTTTATCAAAGGGTAGCATTCGCTCCTCGCTAATAAAGAAGGAGGGAAAAAAAATGAGAAAGAAATACGCCATATTACCTTATTCTAATATATCCTCTCTTTGTGTGTAATTCATGTAACACTACCTGCTTTAAAAACAGTCATTCCTAGGTCAGGAAGGAAAGGAGAGGATTTTCAGCACCCAGCATCGGCCAAATTATGCTCCCGTGGGGCTTGAGCACTTAAGTCAAAGGAGAAACACCCGCTCCTTTCAGAGCAAAGGAACAGCCTCTCTTACTCCGTGTTTTTAATGGTGGAATCAAACCCAAAAGTAATTTGCCTGGCACGTAAACTAAACCAAAGGTGGGGAAATCCTGTCATATCCACACAGGGTTTGTGGATCTTTCACCTGCACATTTTCAGCGCAGGTACACAGCGAGTCTGCAGGCACCTCCCTTCGGTGAGGAAGGGATTCGTTTCTTTTATATTTACATTATTCGTAGATATTTAAACTATTGATATCATTTGTGTTTATGTACATAAACTATATATTCATTAATATTATTTATATTGATATTCTTTATGCTGCTATTTACCTTTTCAACGGCTTTCACCCAGAACTTTTGCCCCAAGTCGAATGAAAAGACATTTCTTTCCTTCCCAAGGCTTAACCTTTAGCGAATTAGTTCGGATTAAATGACTCAATGTAAAACCAGGTTAGGGCAGCACAAAAC